AATAAAATAAAAAATTTTCTTAGAAAAAGTGCGCTTTATTCAGAAACAAAAAAATACTTGAAAATCTATAAAATAGTTTTGCTCAAGTCTGTGTGTGCATACATTTTTTTTCATGTATAGTTTAAAATTTGTTGTGTCGAAAAAGTAAAATATTTAAAGATTGTTGCATTTTTCGTTTTGGTAAAATAAAACGTACATCCTACACGTCCAATAATAGGATGAGACACAAATAGATGAAAATGGAAAATCCAAATTGTCGATGAAAACCATCCCAGTGAGTTGTAGCGTTTTTATTTTTAACTTCACACCAGACACGACGTCGGGCTGAAAACATCCATTATTACATACTTTCTTACTCCTGATCCAACTCGTCTACAGTAGACGTTTGCATCTTTGAAAAAAGAATGAGTTAACACACAAAGTGATTGTTTTGAAACTTAGAAAAACTACTTTAAAAGTATCTATTAATAACCCCTAAACCCATATATCATTGCTGCATTAAAAAAAAAAAAAAAAAATCCAAGAAACTCAGTGCCCGAACAAATAAATAATCGAAAACATCGCAATCGGCATTGAAAATCCCCCAGCAAAAAGAGCCGAAGACTCGCAGTCTCCTACGCGTGACCAATTACCTGCACAGGGGAATCGCTCGATGTACGCTTATTTTCCTCGCTCTCTCTCTGACTCGTTTCGATCGATTATTGTCATGTGCAGTTGCTTGGCATTGGCTGTTGAACTAGATCGCGTACACAGTCGCTTTTGTTCTGTTTTTATTTTCGCGAGATGACGTCGCGAATTTCCTTCGTGCATCATTGAATTTTCTAGTGTTTTGTACAACTGAATCAAAATTAAAAAGGATATCCAACTGATTTATTTAACGCAACAATCGATCGAAATATAGAAAACGTGATTTAAAAAAAAAATTACTATTACAATGACAAATGATTTTGCTCTCTGAAAATTGACTTTTTGGGTTACGAAGGATGTGAATAAGTGATGAGTCTTTGGACGAATTTTGTTTTATTTTTCACCTGGACAGGAGAATCCGAAAAAAGTGTGATCCTAAAAAAATGAGAATCTTATTGTTTGGCCAAGGGAGCGACGAGATAGTCGTGATAAGATTTTTTTTTACCCAACGATCGGTTAAAAATAAAATTTGCGGTACAAGAAAACACGGCGGCGATGATCGGCTTTTGGGAAATCGCACAAGGTCGAGTCGCGAAAATATACGGGACGCGAGGGAGAGTAAACAAAAGAGCGTTAATTTGAAAATAACGCGGCAACTCGGGTCTCCGCTCGTTCCTTTAAGCGAATCGCCTGGTTTTGCTTCATTAACGCTATGTTACGCTCGAGCCAAGAGGCTTCGATCACTCGACAACTCGTTTAATGATTAGCGTTAGTTGAACGCGTGTTTGCTTAGTCGTGTCGTTTTACTGTGTCAAAGTACGATCAATCAGGATGGAAGGTCGAGATTAGTTTCGGGTTCTGTGGTGACGCTGTTGGGTGATGATGAGACGCAGGTGCATAGTCGAAAGAACAAGTTGTGCTTATTTGTAAACGTACAAGTGTCACTTGTGATTTAAAAAGTTTTTGTAGGTCATTTTGCAAACACTCTTATATTCAATGTACCCGCCACTTAAAATATTGAATTTTTTGTTTAAATAAAGAATCTTTTTTAAATATTGTTTAAATTTAATTTCCAAAACAGTGCTAAGGGCTTATTTTTAAATTTTTTATTTATTTATTTGAGCAGAGTATCCAATACAAAACAATAGCAATGATACTTAAGAAAAATACAATTTTTTCTTTTGAATTTACACGTGCTTTATTTTATATTTAGCTACAAATTTGGACAATTTTACTGTACACAGTCAATTTTCATTTTAATTTTACATAGTTAGTTTAATTTCTTCTAAAATACTTCATGATGCAGATGTCCTTCCATGACATTTACCGAGGCATCAAATGTCCTTGAGTTTGCAAAGTAATGTCGATACTTTTACGGCCAAGTGACTAAACGATTTTTTTCTTTTTGTACAAACCTCAAGTGCGCATATATACTTTAATCTTGTTAAAAAAAAAAAAAAATTATTTAAAACTTAACATAATAAAACAGTGGAAATAAAATATTCGTTGTCGTCTTTTGCGGAAATTTTACCCAACTACTTATCCAATTACTCAATTTACTCTTTCACATTTTGAAAGCTCGTTTGTTTTAATTAATATCAAACATCCAATTATCTCATCAGACAATTTTGAAAACAACTTCCTGTGCTGCGGATCGCATAGTCATAATACATTTCTCGTCTATTAGTATAAAATTGCAACGAAAAATGTTAAACATGACACAATTGTATTTTAATTAAAAATCTTCTTTTTTTTTTTTTTTGAGAAATTTTACAAAAATTGCATTTGATCAAATAAAGACAACTAATGCAAAAATCAATTATAAGAAAGCGATAGCATGACGAATCTTTATGTGAGATTTTTTTTGGCCCCACCCTACTATCTATTATATGTGTGACCATCTATTTACTTTTACATTCTAAAACTAGTTGGTGGTGCACGTCGCTTACAAAACACATAGTTTTCTTTTTAGAATACAGAGAAAAGCGTGTCTGGAAAAAAGTCGAAAAATAACTCGTTATCCAACACAATTACGTTTAGTTACGTATTCCATTGCGTCGTGAAAAAAGGTCAAGGTGTATGAATTTCTATCAGTTTTGGCAAATATTCAATGACGCTGACGAATCCGGGTATTATTGGATCGTTACCGTTCGATTTTTTGCTGTCGTAAGACTTTGTAGGTGTATACTTCAATATATATTTTCATAGAAATAACGAAAAATCATTTGTCATGCGGCTCTGACGATTTTTACTACTATAAAAAGTTAAGTACGTCGTAGTTGTTTAGAGATCATTATGAAGTAATAAAAATAATTTTGCTATTTAATTAGGAATAATTAAATGTAAGACAGTACGATAAGAAACGTCCACTAAGCTAAACAATAATTGTTCAATTGAATAAATAATTTTTTGGAAAGTAATTTACACGTAAATCATAGAAATTTTTGATTTTTCGTAAATTTTGACGAAATTATTTAAAAAAAAATTTATTTAAAAGGCCTTAATTTGCATTTTATTGTACATGTTTTCTAACTTTTATTAGAAAAATCTGTATGTGTTGCATTATTTTTCTTGTGTTCTTTCGTGAGTATTTAATTATCGTTTTATGGTTAATTTTCTCATCTATAGATAAATTAAAGGTATAAAAAATTGTTTAAAAAAGAAGTAATAAATAAAAATTCATTTCATTTTTATTTATTCATTTTTTAAAATAAATAATGATGATAGTAATAATAACATAGGTATAAAACAGTTTCATTTAAATAATAATGATATAGGTATTTGCTTGTAACAGTTTATCATACACGTTTCATTCTTACTGTCTACTACTTATTGTCTGACCATATACTAACCTTGCAATATTTTGAATTTAATTTCAATTTAGTTGCTTGAAAGTATTAGTTAAAACAAAAACAAATTCACGTACCAACGTTTTAATAACAATATTTATTAATTCGAGATAAATTTCTCTTTCTATAAAATAAAATATATTTACCACCCGAAATTAAACCTTCAAAATAAATTTCTGATCTCAATTAATTGACAACTAAGTTAAAAAAAAATCAGACAAATACCATATCATACGTATCTAGAGTTCTCATAATACCCCCAAGTATCCCAACACAAAGTCTCCAAATAGCTGCAGCACCGCCAATTATTTCGACCAACCACGCTCTGCCGAAGACTCGTCATCGCTCTACTTTCGGTGAAAAACTCGTCGATAAATTACCGATTCGCGTCTCTCTCTCTCTCGATTTTGTCAACGATGACGGTTTCTAAGCTCGTTAAAAGTGTCTCTTTGCAGCTGATGGGGTGTACTGCGTGCCATATTTTTGCGTTCGGCCCAAAGCGACGTGCTAATGGCTATAATAGGAGCGTAAATTTGGCGGATTGCACCGATGACGCGCACCACCAAGCGTTGAACGATTGACGAGTCCTTGTTGAAGGCGATCGTGAGAATTGACACACACGTCGAATCTTTGTGTCGAGAGTTTTTTTTTGATACCAATGCAAGTTAATTTACAACTTTACTTAATACGATTTGCAGAAAAAAAACCTCAACAATTGTAGTACCTATACGCTTAAAGGCATGCAAAACAAAAGTCAAGTTTAGAAAAATCGTACATTTTCAGGTAACATGTCATAGTCCAATGAATGATCATATGTAATTTCAAGTATAATTTTTATCGTTCAATTATCACGGGAGGAGTAGTAAAAATAAAAATTGAACGTCACAACAATGCCCAGCCCTTCACGGAGGCCAAAAATTCCCGTGTGAAACACTGTAATTGAATTACTACGATAAACAAAAAAAAAAAAAAAAAAAAAAAAACCAAAAATAATAACGATAAAATTTTGAACGTTGATGATATACGGAGCAGAAAATCGTTTACAGACCCGGAAATTCTTCCGATCGCAGAAAAAGACCCACTAAAAAAAGTCAACGCACTCACAGTCCCCTCTCTTATACTCTTTTACTTCGCCACTGGAGCCTCGTCCAAAAACGCGTGGCTGTCAACTCGATCTACGCGCCTCAATCGTCGCAAGTAAGGAAGAAGAAGAAGAAGTAAAAGCCAAGGGCTCTCCACGCAAACCCCCGGCGCCTTGAAAACGCCCTCTCTCTCTCCCTCTCGCGCGGAGATATATATGTACAAGGCGCGAGTTGTGCTCCGCAAATAACCGGCGCATGGAAGAAGTGCAGCGAGCAGCGCTGGCTACACACTCGTCGTGTGTCTTCCCTCTCGGGGCCGAAGAGAAGCCGAGGGAGCCAGTCAAACGCTCGCTGTCAAACCTGCAGCTCCCTCCGATAGTTTTACCGATTTTTCTTTTTTTTTTTGCCTCTTTTTCCCCCTCTCCTTCTTCGTACTTTCCGGTGTTAATGATACGGTCGGGTGTGTGTTGTCCACTCCAAAAGTGCGTGCCCAGCTGGAGCGAAAATAAAACCCAAAAGATTGAACTCGGGTCGGGTGACTGAAAGTAGTAGTCTCGAGTTGCGATTCTGAAAAAAAGAAAAAAAAAAGAAAAACAACACCCAGACAACAGCTGTAAACCAAAGCACGCGAATTATGTAACGCGCGCGTGTTGGAACGCAAGAAGGAGAGGAATAAGAAGAAGACAAGGCGTGTAGTGTATAATAAATATATAGTAGCGATAGTAATAATGTCGAGTTACCGAAAGCGGACGCAGTCGAAGCCGACGACGGCGGCGGGTCTGAGGGCCCAGGCCTCGGCGAGCGGGCACTCGATATTCCGCAACCGGCCGCGCAGTTTGGCCGGCCTCTTCTCCGACAGCAGCCAAAACAGCTACTCGAACCTCTTGGGCAGCGGGAGCGGCTACTCGTCGACCCCGAATTACCTGAACAAGGCGCCGACGTCGCCCTCGGCCACCGGCTACAAGAGTCCGTACTCTAACTCGGCGACTAATCTCAACAGCTACACGACCTACGGGGGTACGGCTTCGGGCTACGGCGGCTTGACCTTGCCCTCGAGCACCAGCAGCAGCATCGGCTCGCTCAATCTCGCCGCGCCGTCCACCAGCGGCTACGGCTACCTCAATGGGCTGAGCAATAGGTCGTCCTCGGTGCACAGGGGGGGCAGCTTCAACAAGCCCAGGCCGAAGCTCGAGACTAGCGCGGGCCTGTTTGGATCGAGGAGCTCGAGTCTGCAGAGCCTCGCCGGGTCCGAAGGATACGTCGTAAGGGATACATGATGTTGATGCTGGGGTTGACACTCTGGGGATTAGGTTTTACTTGGTATTAGCGAGGCTTTACACAAAAAGAGCGTACCTCAACAAAGTTGACGAGACTTTTGACACATGCCTTGGAAAATAACTATTATTTTGTATCAAAATCATTACGAGGTTGATGAAAGTATAATAGGTGAAGCGAAAATTCACGATGGATTGCCAGGTTTTGTCGGAAAGTGGATGACGAAGGGTCAGGAGTAGATTAGGACTGAGCGACGTATTTTTTTTTTTTGTTTGTCCATTGAAAACGCATGGTTGCTTTTACCGAATGGATAATCGCAAAAAGCTCGTGATTAACGATGCGCGTGCATGGGTGTTTTTTTCAGAGCGGGCACGAGCGCTCGGGCCGTTCGAGCAGGCTGGGCTCGGCCTCGTCCCTGAGCTCCGAGAGCGGGGCATCGTCGACCCGGGCCAAGGCGGCCGCGTCGGAGAACGGCGAGCTGGACTACAAGAAGCTGTACGAGGAGTCGCAGGTGGAGAACGAGCGGCTGCGCGAGCGGCTCCGCAAGTCGGATGAGCAGCTGCGCGAGACCCAGACTATGCTGGACAAGGCCCAGAACAAGTCGGCCATGTCGGAGACGGAGAAGCGCGAGCGTCGCGCCATGGAGAGGAAACTTTCCGAGATGGAGGAGGAGCTCAAGGTATACTTGTCACCTTTTTCTTTCTTACTATTATTGGCCGGGTCATTTGCGTGCGTATTTTTTTTCTCTATCTATGGTTTTCCCTTGGGTTGTGCGGAAGCTGGTTTTTTTTTTTTTTTATTTGTCAATTAGTGGTAGTGTTTTCTGCTAGACAATTTTATGAAAAGACAGCTTTCACTTGTTTTCGCTGGGTTATTTAAGAGGATACTCGGAAAGTTTGCTGTAGCGATCACGTGGTGAGAGAAAAATAATAAACACGGCGTCCCTTTCGCGTTGGTAATTGAGTAAACGGTGTGTTAAAAATTTTAATTTTGTTTCGATGTCATTTTCAATTTCGTCTTTCTAAAACGTTAAAAAACTGGGTGTGTCATCGTGTCATGTTTCGTTATTTTGCTACGAGTTGTACCCAGCGAAAGGAGATAAATAATGCAATTTATTTTCACGTTTAAAGAAAAATTATTTTTCTTACAATATTATATTGTTTATTAGCGATCATTATTATAAAAAAAAAAAATTCCTAAGTATATGACGATAGTTCAGTGTTATTGAACGTGGGGTATACATCTCGATACATGTGCGGGATTTCTAAAATTACTTGTACAGGTTGTAATATACACCAGCCTTGAATAGTACAGTTCAAGAAAAATGTTCTACTCAGAAAAATTTTGTTTACATCGTTTGTTTTTGTTATAAAATATTAAAAAATATTGAAGGTTTGAATCATTATAAATTTTTTACATATTAAACAAAAGAGGGAAAAATCAAAAATTAATATAA